AATCTTGTCCCTGACATCCTTGGAGAGCTCTTTGGTCTTGGCCATGGTGGAGAGTTTATAATCTGATTGATTGATTGCTTCTGTGGACAGGTGTCTTTTATACAGGTAACAAGCTGAGATTAGGAGCACTCCCTTTAAGAGTGTACTCCTAATCTCAGCTCGTTAGCTGTATAAAAGACACCTGGGAGCCAGAAATCTTTCTGATTGAGAGGGGGTCAAATACTTATTTCCCTCATTAAAATGCAAATCAATTTATAACATTTTTGACATGCGTTTTTCTGGATTTTCTTGTTTTTATTCTGTCTCTCACTGTTCAAATAAACCTACCATTAAAATTATAGACTGACCATTTCTTTGTCAGTGGGCAAACGTACAAAATCAGCAGGGGATCAAATACTTTTTTCCCTCACTGTAGCGCATATTTATCAATACGATTTTTTTATGGATGAACAGGGCACAATGTAGATTTCCTCTTGAGTGAAGTGATGTAAGATTTAATTTTAAGTAGATGACACAATGGTGGGTCCTGTATGGTACATCCGGTGCAAATTGAAGATCAGAAGGATGAAGCGGGTTTAGTCTATTTAGCGATTCATAATCTGTAACCAGCGTTACTGCAGTCAAACAGTGGTGGAATGATAGCCTCAACAAATTTGCAGGTGCAATCGAATGGGAAAACATGTTTTTTTTCCTGTATGAAAACCCCTAATTTTGATTAGATTTTCTTTGAGGATGTTATCAATATAGGGTTGGAATGTGAGCTTTGAAACAATCATTAATACCATATATTTGAAGCACTCTGTTCAATGTTGTTTCCGATATCCGCAACAGGTGAATGCAATGAAATTGTAGCAGCGAGTCTACCTGTGTCGAATCCATTCTTTTGTTTTTGTATCTCTCTCCCAATTCTGCACACTGGTGCCCTGTCATGAGATGGAGTGTTCGCTTGGAACTCTTGCAGAGCAGTGCAGCTTGGCGTTAAGAGATCGGCCCACAGAAACGGGGACCCACAGAACGCCTCTCATACGTACCAGTCATTTATATTTATTTACTTATTCACAAACTAGGGTGTATAATCTTGATTTGAAGCTTTCGTGACTGCAGGAATCCACACTCTTTGGTTCTTTCGGTAAAGTCACGTAGGTGTATACTTTTTCATACCCCCTGACCAGATATGAAGGTTCATCTTATGGCAGTTAAACCAATGTTTTCTCTTTGTTATTCCTAAAGCTGCGATATTGATAAATTATGTGAAAAAAAATAATTTGATGTGATGGTTTTTCATGAAGCCATTGGTGAGCAGGCTGAGACCATTCACTTGCTAAGCTTAAGAACCTGGCGATTGAATTCTGGATTCAAATCCAAGGCCACAGCATTGCCAGCTCAGTGATCTGACCTCCGAGCCACACAGCTGCCTCTTGGAATAAAATGTTGACTCGTTCAACTGTAATTGCTTCCTGTCTATTCTTGGATTCGGCAATTGAATCAGTGATTGCTAAACGTGGCTAGAATCATTTTAGAAGCAGACACACAGGCCACTAAAGCAGGCTCTTCCAATTGTAGTGTTTTATTAAAATGTGATTATTATAATTTACAGCTGCTGTACTTTTTTTTACTCACTATATATTTATCTGTTATTCTTATGGTCTACATTTTGTGTTTTCAAAAAGTGTAATTAAAAAAATATATCTTTTGTAAAGTTGCACTTCCATCCATCTGTTGGATTTATTTATCCTGTAAATCCTAGCTCCTGTAGATGTCAACGGACATAAAATGAGTTGATCAACCGTAAATGTCGAATTTCAATTTGTCAGAGAGATCGCTGCAACAATACATCTTGCAGCATTGCTATTTAATTCCGTATGAATTGCCACGGGAGCATGAGGATTAGCATGGATTCACTTTAATTATGGGCAAAAATAAATGAAAGGACTTAATGTTCTTCAAAGGGCAAGGTCTTACATACTAATGAGGAGTGGACGTACACTCTCTCGGTTCATTGCCATCACGGGCGTATAATGCCCCCCGCCACTACTGCCAAAAGAGAGTGTTGGGCACTCAGGTGATGAGGAAATAATGAAACGGTGGCGACTGTGCTGAGGCCAATAAAAACACTACACTTGAGCACTAGGTTCAATCAGAGGTGGCTGAAACCTGGATATGAAAGCAGGGAAGTCTGCTGTTCTGGCTCTGTGGCTATGACAGGGCAGCTTTGTGAGCCGCTGTGCCACTTGGGGCATCTCCATCTTGGGGGTAAAGGGTTCGATTCTCCGGTGAAGATACGCACCACCCAGCGCTGCGTCACCGATCGCTCTCCAACCAGGCCGCTCAGCAGACCCGACCTGAAAAACAATGGAACACCGCCGGGCTTTCATTTCTATTCTTGTCGCAAGGCCATGGTTTTAATGCCCAACTTGTATGTTTTGGGAACACGATGATTGACACAAATTAGCCCATTTAATCGCCATCATGTCGAGAGACAACGAAATTACATTCAGTATTGCATGCACCATCAATTGTAAAGAAATGGTCATGGAATATGACACCAGGGAACTACTTATGAAGTCTGTCCAATAATTATCATGGTTGGTTACGAAAGAAGTTCAAGATACATCCTATTGTATAAGACTTTATACTCCCCAACACTAAAAGCAAGTTATTTAAGCCAAGATATACATTTTCAGCGGCAGAAGTGAGGGTAAAATACAATTGAGGCATCAATGTTCGCTGAAATTACAATTACATTGCAGATTGCATCTCAGTCTTTTTTGTATGGCTGATGTAGAGCCCCAATAATAGTTTTATCTTTGAGTTTCTTTGGGCCAGATAATTGCTCCAGGAATACAGAATGTATCGCTGCCGATGCCTCCTTCCTATTTGTGAATCGGTTCTCTGAGTTGTGCGTTCCTTGATCTGTTGTGCCGGGTAACCACAGTCACACAACGGATAGTTTTCTTTTCTTCCATTTGCGCATCAAGCATCCACATCTGCTGTTGCGATGGCTTTTGTGTAGGTGTGGTTTTGGGGGGTTGTGGCCCTGAAGGTTTTGCGGAACATCGGAGCAATGGATCATTCTGTCGGGTCTTTGACAAATTTTAGTCGATTACAATTCGGTGCAAACAACGCAATGATAATTGGAATCAATCCCAGGTCTAGTTAAGACTCGTATATGCCACATTGTGCAAATGTACTAATTTTATATGGGGTTTTTTTGCACATTCATTGGGAAGTGTACTGAGGCCATCAACTCGCTACCCTTGAGAACCCAGTCTGGGTGGCCACTTGAATCTCAGTGGTGCCGGCTGCTAGGTGACCTGACGTGGTGTTAGCCACCTCTTGGATCATAAATACCCACATCAAAACAAAATAATACCATTTCCATTGTTGTATCTTCAACTCTTTACACGCGTTTTAACCACCATTACGTTATGAATATGTGAAATAATAATATATAGCCCCTTAATCAATTTACTGCTGGTTCAAGGTCTCCCCGTGCCGTATCAGTCGTGGGGGTTATTTAACCTTCACCACGCCGGTCGATGCCGGTTGGTGAAGAACCTCAGCAACATCTCCGCGCAACACTCGCAGTCGATGTTAGCCTCTGCTTGGAATTGAACGCACGCCCCGGGGCTCCACAGCGCAGCGTGACGAAAAGTGTTGCCATCACGTTGATAACATTCCTATCATCCAATTAATTACCATGTCCTTCTCAGTGCCGGCTCAGTCATCTGCGCGGATTTTTGTTTATTGGAAAGGAGTCTTGGTGAACGCTGGCAATGCTGTTCCGAGTCAAAAATAATAGGCAGGCGTCAGCATCCTCACCCATACTTCACTCGCAATGCCAACATGCGCTTCTTCAAGAGAAAGTTCTTCGCCGTGTATGTGGCAGGAGGCACCGCTATCTTTAGCCAACACTTCCGGCTGAGTGCGATAGGGAAATTACAACGATTTCCAGCTTAAACTTACTCAAATATTCCCTGTGCTGTAGACAGGAAACCACGCAGGCTCCAAAGCGACAGATCAGGGACTCGCGCATGAAAACCCCAAGACGTTGAATGGATAAAAAGCAACACCAAAAATCACCTTTCTGGATTGCAGCCTCCGTCAAAAAAAACATAGTGTTTTTTTTCTTTAAGAAATTGAAATGTCTCGATCCTCGATCCTCGCCTCATCAAGGACACTCACTAATCCATGCTGACAGAATCCAATTTAAAAGCACAACTGAATCGATGCCCGTCAGTCAACGCACGCCCACCCCACAAACCATAGTGACCTATCAGGCGCGACAACAGTTACTGAAGCTAGAGGGGACATCACGATCCTGCCCTCGGAAATGTCTCTTGACAGCAGGGAATTAATCACTGGCTCCGCACCTTAGCCAACGTTGAACTTGGCTGAAGCGGCAATGGATGATTTAGCCATGCGGCTGCCGTGTGAACAGTTCAAATGTGGCTGGGAACCTCCAGCTTCCTGGTGGAGTCCCAGAAGCCAAAGTAATCATCCCTGACAATAAGCATCCCTGACCAAAGTATGCATACCTGACTGGCTGTATGTGATAGAAGAGAATCCACGTATTGCTGTACACCAGCCAGCAGACCACCAATATATGCCACGGTGGCTAGGAGATGTTAACTCCCTCGCCAGGTATGCAGGAGGTTCGTGGGTTCGATCCCGACACTGACGCCTGCATATTTGGAGTATGCATGTTCTTCCCGTGGTCGGGTGGAATTTTATACGGGTCCTCCAGGTTTTCCCTCCACATTTAAAATCAACGTGCGTTTAGAGTATTTGGCTGCTATAAATTTCCACATAAGCCCCTTCGTTGAGCTATCATTTGTGGCCAAGTCATTTCTGAAAAATGGCTATAAAGCTCAGTGGGCTTCACCTGGTAAAAAAAAAAGGTTTTGTTTGATTTAGTTAAACGCAATTCCTCCCATTCACGGCACCTCCCACCTCATGCATAATTTACGAGGCAGTCAGAACGTTGCCTGGCAACGCCACACAACAGTTGGCACGCAGACAAGGGGCCTCAGTGCGCCCAAGTTGTGGCTCCCTGGCTGGCAGGCGAAAACAAATCACTGGCCCTCTTCGAGTTCAACTTAAACGACCGCCGCTTCGATGGCAACGTGAGCGTGCTTCGGCCCGCAGTCGAAGTCTGAGGGAGGTGGTGGGAGGGGGGCTTTGTCGATGCGGTGGAGTGGAGCCGGTACGAGATCCTCAAGGGGGGGCTTGAGTAGTCAGATTGTCGCACTCCGGCCTCTCCACTGCGAGTGCGGCTGGTAAAGTGGCCTCATCCAGACGTCCTCTGCGCTGGCCGCGGAGAAGCCGACCGGGGCTTGAAGACACCACATTGTGCGCAAGCCTCGCAGCAGTAACGGTAAGCTGCGCGCACATTTTTTTAAAACAAAGTTTTCAAATGTTTTCGGCTCTCAGAAGAAACATGCGCGAACTCTTTTCTTCTTTTTTTCTTTCGTGGTAACAAGTGAAAATGGACGGTTGCAAAATACTTGTTCTCTCTGATAGCCATATGTTTCCTTAATGGGCATTTCCTTTCTGAATGCAAAAACAAAATAAAGCAATGAGACCAAGACTAAAGTAGACAGCACGAGCCGGTCGGGTGAGATCAACTTGCTTGTCCCGTCACATTTCCCGTGGCCAAACGAACTCTGGGTCCGCTGGACCGCAACGCCGTTGCGCCATGCCTTTTCATTTAGAGAAACGTGAGATTCAGGGCGGACATCCGTTACCCCGGCGCATACCGATGGGAGCCCACACCCTCATCGCGGCCGGCACAGCGAGCGTGTACTGTTACCCGTGCTGCGCAGCGCTCGCAGCTATGGTAACGACTGCACGGCATTCGTAGGGAACGTGGCCCTATCTAGGCCAGCCCGGCCCCTCTCTCGTGTGGCCGCGTTTTACGTGCCGTCACCTCGTCAACTGCAACGTGGCGAGATGTTAACTACTTCGCCTGGTATACAGGAGGTCGTGGGTTCGACCACAGCCCTTACGCCTGCTGTATATTTGGAGTCTGCGTGTCTCTCTCTCCCCGTGGTCGTGAGGATTTTTCTCCGGGTCTCATCCGGTTTTACCCTCCGCATTTCGAAACAGTTCGTTTAAGAGTATTTGGCTGTTATAAATTGCCACGCAATAAGCCACTTGGTTGAGCTATCATTTGTAGCCAGGTCACTTCTGAAAAAGAGCTACACAGCTCCGTGGGCCTTACCTGGTCAAATAAAAATAGCATAGTTTAATAGTTTAGTTTATAATTGTGCTGCGCTTAAATACGGCGGCCCGCGTTGTCTCTTCTCGGTTTTCGCAACTGGCGTCAAGCTTTTCGGTTCTCAGGTTTTGAAGTCAGTCATCCATAAACAAGGAAGAACTGGAGCGCAATGAATGCCTTGCGTACAGTTTGTGCATTTGTGTGCGCGAGGGACAGCGGAAATATTTTCAGAGCTGGGTGTAAACGAGGTGAATTTACCTCGTACTGCATTCAGCTTCCTTCGAATGTCCATTGTTAGATAGTAATCAATTAAGCGTTTGCAACATGTAAAAAAACTGTATAAAACACTGTACCCTAGCTTGTAAAATTCTAATTAAAAAAAACAAGAAAAGAAATCTGAACCTCCTCATTCTAGAAAAGGCCATTGCTACTCATTAAGTTTACTTTGACCTTGACTGTCGCTAGAAGGAATGGTGACTCGCGGTCGAGACTAATGACGGAGTGACAGCCAAAGGAGGGAACACGCCTGAGTGGAGAACCACCGTGAAAATGGAGTGATGAAATCAGTCTCATGTGCAGGTGCTGGATGGACTGTCTGTCACATTGCAAGACCATGAGAGATGGTGAGGGCTTAGGGAGGCTTATTAGTGGATAAAAACCATGCTTTAATAGAGTATGTGGCTGATATGAAGTTCCACACGATAAGTCACTTCGTTGAGCTATCGTTTGTGGCCAGGTCGCTTCTGAAAAAGAGCTAAATAGCTCAGTGGGGCTCACCTGGCAAAATAAATAGCTTTGACTAGAGGCTAACCCGAGCCGTGTGTGTTCGTTGTTTCCCGTGCAGAAGCCATCATGCCCAAGAAACGCGCGCCCAAGGGCCGGAAGCTGACGCTGAAGCAGGCCAAGGCAGCCGTGCACAGCACCCCCGACGGGAAGAAGCGCCTCAACCTCAGCAACGCGGGCCTCGCCACCTTCCCCAAGTGCCTCCTCAAGCTGAGCGACGTCGACGAGCTGGACCTCAGCCGCAACGCGCTCCGCGTCCTCCCGCCCTCCATCGGCAAGTTCGTCAACCTCCGCTCGCTCGACGTCCACAGCAACCGGCTCGAGAGCCTGCCCGAGTCGCTGGGCCAGCTGAGCGGCCTGCTGCACCTCAACGCTTGCAACAACCGGCTGGCTACACACGGCCTCCCCGAGGGCCTTGCGCAGCTGCAGAAGCTGCGCACCCTCAACCTGGGCCTCAACGAGCTGGACAGCGTGCCGCGCTGGCTGGGCCACCTCCGGGAGCTCACCGACCTGGGTCTCTTCGACAACGCCATCGTGGGCCTGCCTGAGACCGTGGCCAAACTGCCCAAGCTCCAGAAGCTCAACGTGAAGCGAAACCCGCTTGCGCTGGCCCCGCCGGAGACGGGCGGCGGGCCGGTTGGGGGCGAGCCAAGCCCCGAGGAGGCGTCCCTGCTGCTGGTGCACGAGTCGGAGGTGTGCAAGCCTTGCCTGGCCTCGTGCCAGGAGGAGAGGGCACGTAGGGCCGGCCTGCTCAAGAACACCAACAAGGGGTCCAACCGCGGGGTGGGAAGGTTTTCCGGGCTCATAACGCCCAACTCCGTGGCGAAAGAGACGCAAACTGCCTGGAGATGAAGCGTTTTTCGGCTACGGCGTCACCTCAGGGATATGGGCGACGTTGGAGATGGAAGTTTAGAGAGGGGTGTTTTTTCACGGGGTACTTTGAGAGCAGCAGCAAGACGCAGAAGTGTTACAGCAGAGCGAAGTTAACCTTGTCCCTGCAAAGCCACCTACTTCTCTAGATTTAGCCGATTAATTAAATAACTTACACTTAACTCGGCGTTCACCAAGAACACAAAATTAGCCAGATTGGATTGTTACACACATTTTTACTTGAAAGTGAAATGTTTTAATTTCAATAGATTTTTAAGGGAATGTACATGCCATAGAGTAACAGTTTTACACTTAGGTGGGTAAAAATTAATGGACAACAGACCATCATTTAAACTGCCCAAGCCAATAAGAAAAATACATCTGGACAGTGATACCAATGTTTTTTCCGTCACTGACAAAAAATAAACTCCCGATTCAGGAAAACCCCAACAACACCGAGCGCCTCATGGTTCCACGCGGATTGCGTTTCACTCACCCGGCCTCCACACTTGCGTTGGGGTTCTGTCCGGAGACGCTCTCGCTGCTGTCCGCGAGCGACGGCGCAATCGTCAAAAACCTGCGCTCGTCCGGGCGACAAAGGGGACGCACTTTGAGATCGCCTCGCCACCCCCAACTCCACAATCATCGCACACGAAAGATCCCCCGTGGAGCCTTTAACAGACTTTTGTGGCAAGTGCTGTTAGAGAGCACCTATGAAGGCCAGCACAGGCATACGAAGGGGGTGGGTCTGGCCAGCACCACGGCCCGGCCGCCTTTGTCTTCCGAGTGCTGATGTTTTACACACTGCATCAGGTATTCATTTGAGGCTGAATCGACGGAGTGGGGGCCCAGGACCGGTTCAGAAAATTGTCACTGGTGTTGGCCGTGAGCGAGAATCGAACTCGAGTCGCCGGGTTCGTAGTGCAGCAACGCTAACCACTGTGCCACCGCCCCCCAATCATCAAACACAGACAAACACCGTTACATTCGTAGAAAAACTAAGTGAGAGCTCGTTAACGTTCATGGTTAAGTCTACACCCTGATGATCTTTATCACTTTGTGCTTTGTTTGCAAAGGCTTTTAAGCTCGTGATTTGGTGCTTAACACGCCAGAGGCCTTACCTTTGGTACACCTTGTTTCTCACCCCACGCGGGAACACCAGGAGGTAGTTCCTGCCGTCGTTTGAGAATACTTCCACGGCCATCGGCTAAACAAAAATACCAAGAGGAGGATCTCAGCGGCATTCCGGTGATACGTTTGACGAATCCACACGCCACTTGAGTGAACGTTGTGTACAAACTCATTCGCGATTAAATGTCTCTTCTTGGAAAGGAGGTGGGGGGGTCTGTGGTTTCTGATGAAAGATTCCGTTTCGCACGAGCTCAGCTTCCTGCTCTTCACAATGTCAGCGGCTTTTGGGCTGTCCATCGTAAAGAAGACGGCGGTCACCGCGTCGCGCTTCACTTTGAAATGGCACTCCTGCGGCCGTCTGGAACGTTCCTCCTTCCGACATTAGGAAGCCACTGGAGAAATGCACTTTTAAATCTAGATTGAAAACTCATTACTTTAGAGCTGCTTTTTGTGTTTAGTTTGTTGTCCTCCTCCCCCGCACCTCCGATTAGCACGGTTGGTGACGTACGGTGCGAAAAACACACACACATACATTGTTTGCATCCACAGCAAGAGAGGCGTTCCTTGCTCAAGGGTGGCACTGACATTATGGACCTTATTGTCTCCATAACTAAGCAGTAAACAGCCTGTCAAACTCCGGCTGTGTGTCCCGGCAAAATAACTTAAATAAACATTATGAATGCTTCATAATGCACAGCAGCTGTACAAGTCTTTATTTAATTTGGGATATATTTATTTTTACTAAGACGGTTCCTAACGTGAAAAGACATAGATGGTAAAAGTTAGCCAACAACATTTCTGATTCTTAATCTGATTTGCGGCTCAGGATACCACAAACTATTCATCAAATCAGCGGAGCTAAGGGGGGCCATGGGCAAATCATTACGTGCCAAGAGACTACGAGTGAAATATTCATGATAATAGAAAGGGGTCGCATGGCAGCACAGTGGTTAGGTACACTTCACTGTGAACCCAATGACTTGAGTTAGATTCCCGGCCACGGCGAACACCAGCGGCGAGTGATCCCTGAAGCGGCCCTGGGCCTACCCCTCTCACCAACCCGCACCGACCAGCGTGGCGATGATCAGTTAAACAGACGCCATGAACAACATGGCGTGAACTGACAAGAGGAGCTGTGGTTGTTCGGCACGGTACGGAACGGAGAAGAGCGAGCGAGCGCGCGAGCGGACGAGGGGCGGCACCTGCAGGAGGTAGCGCCGCTTGTGCACCTCGCGCACGCCCTCGTAGCTGAACTTGCTGCACGCGCGCTGCGGGTGCGACGGAGGCGATCGGGTCCCACGGGGAATCACAGGGTCCTGCAGCCTGGGTGGCGAGACCACCCGGAATCGCGCACGCAAGGACGAAGGGAGTCAGTGCCGTGTCGCGCATTCCCCCCAATGGTTAAACGCTTCATGCAATGACATCGGGAAGATGATGATGACTGTTTCATCGCAGGACCGTCAAGGAGGGTGGCAGCTTGGGGACGTTCGGCCTGGTTATGAAGATGATGATATTGATGCTGTTCAGGATGATACAGGAACCAACAACGGTGCTTCTGACAGCCATGATAGAAATTTTGTTGATGTTCCAGCAATGGTTCATATTGTTGACGATGAGACTGCTGCTACAGCTGATGAGGCTGCTACAGCTGATGAGGCTGCTACTGCTGACGAGGCTGCTGCTACAGCTGACGAGGCTGCTGCTACAGCTGATGAGGCTGCTGCTACAGCTGATGAGGCTGCTGCTACAGCTCATGAGGCTGCTACTGCTGACGAGGCTGCTGCTACAGCTGACGAGGCTGCTGCTACAGCTGATGAGGCTGCTACTGCTGACGAGGCTGCTACTGCTGAGGCTGCTGCTACAGCTGACGAGGCTGCTACTGCTGAGGCTGCTGCTACACCTGATGAGGCTGCTACTGCTGACGAGGCTGCTGCTACAGCTGATGAGGCTGCTACTGCTGACGAGGCTGCTGCTACTGCTGACGAGGCTGCTACTGCTGACGAGGCTGCTGCTACAGCTGATGAGGCTGCTACTGCTGACGAGGTTGCTGCTACAGCTGATGAGGCTGCTACTGCTGACGAGGCTGCTGCTACAGCTGATGAGGCTGCTACTGCTGATGAGGCTGCTGCTACTGCTGACGAGGCTGCTGCTACAGCTGACAAGGCTGCTGCTACAGCTGACGAGGCTACTGCTGCTGACGAGGTTGCTGCTACAGCTGACGAGGCTATTCCTGCTGACGAGGCTGCTGCTACAGCTGACGAGGCTGCTACTGCTGAGGCTGCTGCTACAGCTGACGAGGCTGCTGCTACAGCTGACGAGGCTGCTACTGCTGAGGCTGCTGCTACAGCTGACGAGGCTGCTGCTACAGCTGACGAGGCTGCTGCTACAGCTGACGAGGCTGCTACTGCTGAGGCTGCTGCTACAGCTGACGAGGCTGCTGCTACTGCTGACAAGGCTGCTGCTACAGCTCACGAGGTTGCTGCTACTGCTGACGAGGCTGCTGCTACAGCTGACGAGGCTGCTGCTACAGCTGACGAGGCTGCTACTGCTGACGAGGCTGCTGCTACAGCTGACGAGGCTGCTGTTGCTGCTGCACCAGTGGCTGTGCCGGAGCTGCTCACTCGGGTGGCAGCATGTCGATGTCGCAGATCTCCCGGCGGGTTGTCATGGTGACCCCGTCGATGACGTAGAAGTGTTCCTTCCCAAAGAGCAGCAGCCCCTCGCTGGTGTCCAGGCCCTCCACTCGCGCGCACCGGTACATCTGGGAGATCTGGGAGCGACACGGCGGAGAGGCGGGGTCAGGCTGGGCGAGGTTGGGATCTGCTTGGTGTTACTGATCAGGGTTCGGGTTAAGATGACTGTAAATTGGATTTATTTAAAGGGTTTTTATTGTATTTCAATTAGAGCCCAGGCCGTTAGGGTTAAGGTTAACGTGGTTTTATGGTATAGTATAACTTGGGCCACGCTGGAGATTAGTAAGGGTTTGAGTGTTCTCTGCTTCGAGGATCAGGTTTAAGGCAGAAGGAATGAGGTCGGTGTGTGTGCTAGGGTTACGGCCAATGTATATTGAACTTCTTTCGCACCGTATATAGCCAACAGTGCTAATCGGAGGTTGTGGGTGGTTTTGCTGCGCTCTGGCTAGGATGGGGAGTAATGCGCTAGGGGGAGGTTGGGGGGGAGGGGACGAGGCTGCTCACCGTTTCGCCCTCCGCCAGCAGCCTCAGCACCGTCTGGTTCTCCGTCTTCTCGCCGCCATCGCCGATGCCGGCCCCGTCGGCCATCGGGTCCGGGAGGCCGTCTTCATCGTCGCCGCCCGGCAGGCCGGCGCCCGGCTCCACGCCCGAGCGAGACCTCTGCAACGGCTTCACGAGCCCTGCCGACGACGACACGTCAGGCCGCCGCGTGACTTAAAACTACTCGCTCGCGATTTTAGTTTTTATTACCGAAAAGGGATCGCAAACATCATGTCGGTACGCAGGGCACTGTTCGCGAGATGAGGATAACGGCTGACCTAGACGCAGAACGGTTGAAAATTCTGAGCGGTCAGCCACTCGGCATTGACCGTCCTAAATTAAGAAGACCGATTTAAAATGTATTTTCACATGGGGAGACCATTTCTGCATTTGCTGAAGCGTACGTCTGATACAGAACTATCGTCTGATGCAGAACCACCGCCCGATGATCGAATGTGAAGTGACAAGCAAACGATCCGAGCTTAAGTCTGGGTGTGGGGGGGGGGGAAGCATAAAAAATCAGCCAATTCGATCGTTACCCTCATCTACCCACCGAACACTCTCCCCACTGCTTCGCCGTCGGGGCAACGTGCACAGCTCAAGCCGGAGACTGTGATCACAAATTTTCAGTGGGCGATAGGCCGACGTCAAATATAAACATCTCTCGTACAAGGCCCCTACCGTCGAACCTCCCGGTTTAAACCTTCCACGCCGCCAATGATCGACCATCAACCGAATCGGGACGGGGCAAGTGGCCGATGCGGCCGCCTGATGCGCAAGTGGCGCATGGAAGATTCGGCGGCCTGCGAGTGCGGCCACGAATCCCAAACCGTCGACCGCATCGTAAACACTCTGCCGCTGACCTTTGACCCCCACCATGCCGTCCTCCCCGCCGTTCTCCTCGTGCCGGGCGGCCTCGCTCTCGGCCGTCTCCGTGGCGACCACGGGCTCCAAGCTGGACTGCGACACCAGGCGGAGGTAGAACTCTTTGCTGTCGTAGCTGATCACTCGCCGCACTTTACCGCTCTTCTGCGGGGAGGTGAGCGCCGCGTGATCAGGGGCAGCTCGGTGAAAAGCGACGACCGC